TTTTTTGGTACATTTTTGGTCGGTGGCCGCGGTGCTGGGCCGGGGGTAGGAGGGGACACGGAGGCCGCCCTCAACCCGCCACCCCCCACCCGCTTACCCCCCGCCCCGGCTCCAGGAGATGTGCCGGGCGGGGGGCCCGGGTTCGCGGAGCCGCAGGACAGACGCACAGGGCCGACCCCAGAGCGGCGCCGGACAGGTGAGTGTCTGCGGGCCCAGGGTGAGGAGGACGCCGTACCTGGGCCAGGTGTGCGGGGCGGGGGGATGGGAGTTGGGGGCCTGTCCGTGCCTCGGAGGGGGAGGGGATGCTGGAGCCGCCGGTCATCGCACCTGAGCCGGGAGGGGCGTTGGGGGCAGATTGCTCTGCACCCACGCCAGCGAGGGTACCGGGAGGGGCGGCCCCAAAGAGCGACGAGGGTGCGGATGGGAGGCCGTGGGGTGCCCTGCGGGGGGAGGGGACGGCGAGTGTGCCCGCGCGTGGCTGCGTGTGCCCGCGCGCGCGCCAGCCTTTGTGGGGAAGCGGTGCGGCGGTCCCTGCGTGTCCCCGGTGCGTGTGCGCGCGGGTGCTTGGCGCCCTGTTTGTGTAGGTGTTTGGGTGTGAGCGAAGACGGTGCGTGTGCGCGCCACGCGGGCCCCGGCCCCAGAGAAGCCTTGTCGGGGGCTGGCTCTGTAGGAGGCTGGGTTTGGGGTCGTTTTTCTCCGGAGGGTGGTGGCGCGGGGCGGGGGTCGCAAGCGACGGGCTGTCGGTGAGAGCCCCTGGCGGTAAGCGGTAGGCCCCCAGAGCTTCCGGGAGACCAGGGGCCGCGCGCGAGGATGAGGAAAAGGAGGGGGTCCAAGTGGGGTCGAGCCCGCCGCCTGCCCTGCCGCGGGTGGCGCGGGGCGGGGGTCTGTCTGGGTGTTGGGGCCGGGGGCTGCCGCTGCCAGGAGGAGGTGGTACCAGTTTAGGCATGGGGGGCTGTCGGGATTGACCCATCCGGATTCAGGCGCCGAGCCCTCCCCCCAGGTGTATACTGGTATATTGTCATTCCGCCATCTGAGGGTCCTAGGATGGGAGTCTGAGCCTGAAAGGGGGAGGTGCTTGTGTGTCCCATAGGCATCGTTCCAGCACCCTTTGGCACCCATCCGAAAACAGCACCTCGCTTGCACATAGCACGATTCCCCTTCCCCCAAGCCTTCACGCACATCTCCGTTCCTACACTTCAGTTTAGGTCAGCACACTGCCCCATCTCTGCCTGTGCTGGGTCCCTTTCCTCTAACCCTGATACCCCACCACCGCCGCCGTGGACTGCGCGTGGGTGCCCCTCCATCCCTATCGAGAGGCAGGGCCCCCTTGTCTTCTCCCTTCTGCAGGACCCATAGCCTGGCTCGCCTGCCCACATCCAAACATGTGGTGTGTCTGGGGAGCAGGGGGAGGGGTTCAAGATGGCTGCCAAGATGGCTGGTCGCTCTCTGCCTCTGTCTTTTTCTCTCCTCCTCTTTTTTCATTCTCTCTCCTAACCTTGCTCCTTTAGCTGCTGTGGGGGTCGCTGTGAAAGAGGGGGCTGGACTGTATGGGCACAGGTATGGTGGCACTTGAGAGTGGATGTTGCTCTGTTGACCTCATTGCTGCTTGGGGAGAAGCCGGTGGTCTCTGTTCCTCTTTCTAGCATCCCAAAGGTGGGGCATGAACAAGGAGACCCCACTTTCTCTCAATTCCAAATTCCAGCCACTTCACCCCAGCCAGCAGCCTGGGGCCTCCCTACCCCTCCACTCGCTTTCCCGGGCATGGTACTAGAATTGATCATTAGGGTGTCAGGGTGCCCCACTGAGGCAGCCCCATCTCACACTGTCCTCTTTCTCTGCCTGGGTCAGGCCCCAGCTTGGGGGGCAGGTGACTTCTTCCTCCCCACTCCTCTCCCACTAATGCCAAATTTATTACTTAAAAGTAGGATGAAAACAGGGAGAATAAGAGAAGGAATACAACCTTCATTATCATATCGAGAAAATTATCCGTGATTTTCCTAACTAGCAATTTGCCTGCCACGCCGTTCAGAACTGACTTGCCCATTAATTACAGAGATGAAAAATCATCTGGAAAGAGGAAAAGGGAACTAATTTGATCCCTTGCCGGAGGCCGTCATATATATGTGCGTGTGCACTCCCGTGTGGGTGCTGGCCCTTCTGCTGGCTTGCCACGTTCCTCCTCCTTCCCCTCCACGGCCCCCCTCCTTCCCCTCCACGGCCCCCCTCCTTCCCCTCCACGGCCCCCCCGCCAGACCTCAGCCCACCCCAATTGTGTCACCCCTGCCCTCCGATGCCTCGTTTGGCCCTGTTTCCCTCTCTGGGGCAGCCTGTCCCAACCCCCTCTTGGGGAAGTGGGGGGCTCACACACCCCACAATCTCCAGGTGCTTCTGCCTGCCCTTGAGCGTGGAGACTGCCTGCAAGGTTGGGGGAGGGTGGGGAGCTGGGGACCAGCGCACCTGGGCTGTGGAGCCTGCAGGGAGAAGGTGGAAGACTGGAGACTGTAGTTGGCTTCTATTCCCAGCCTACCCTGGGGAGCCCCCGGCTCCTGAGGGCCTGAAGAGGACCCTATGGGCACGTGGGGGAGGATACCTGTTTGTATCAAACTGTCTGTGCTCCTGCCCGTGGCTTCTCTCCCCGTGCGTGAGAGGGCTACATCTTGGGTATCTTCCTGCTCTCTGCATGCCGGAGACTAGCATGGGCATCTTTGTGGGGGCAGTTTTCCAGGAGGCCTGTGTACTGCTTGGCTTACAGGCAGGTACCCCAAAAGGAGGGAGAGCCCCCAGCCCTGGGAGGCATGGAGCTGAAGCTCTTGGGTTTCCCTCCACCTCCCCAGCCAGACAGTGGCCAAGGACATGGAAGGCTCTGGTTTCTCTGTGGGCTCCTCTCCCGGAAGCGATTTCCAGATGCTGACACTTCCCTCCTTCCCTCCTCCAAGCCCCTCCATGAGGAGGCAGGGGAGGGGCTCCCGAGTGGTGTTTCCCTGGGTCTGGAAACTGACTGCACAGCCCTGGAGGTGCCTGAGTGAGCCAGTGTTAGGCCAGGGCCCAGGCTTTAGGGTGATTGTCCTGAGGGAAGAGGGAAGCAGGGTAGGGGATGCTGGGCAGAGGACACTGCTCACCCCTTCCAGTTCTCTTGTCAGGTGTCTGTCTGCACCTGTGGGTACCTGTTCCGTGCATGATGGAGTGGTGACCCTGGCTGAGCATACCTGTGGTCACACGTGCCCTGAGTTCACAGGGTCTCCTGCGTTCTGGCATCTGTGTTTTCCCAAAGGGGTGGTTATGTGTGCATGTGGCTGCTTGCATGAGCAGATGTCTGCATCTCCTGTGTACATGCAGGTGTGCTCAGGTATGTAAGCGCGGCTCCTTGGCTCAAGGCTAGGTGTGCCTCTTTACCCAATCTGCGAACACTTGGTGAATGCCTCCTCTGTTATAAGCCATGAGGGGGATGCCATGGTGGTGGTACCCTGGCCTCACGATGCTCACCATCTAGCAACACAAACTGATTTTAGTAAAGGGGCACACGCGTCTCATGGAGCAGGAAGAAGGCTTGAGCCTCCCCCTCCGCGGCGCTAGGCTCCTTGCTGCCTACTGCTCAGTCACTTCCAGGCTGGGGCATCATGGGGTGGGTCATGTATGGTCTTCCAGCCCCATCCATCCATCTTCTTACCCCAGGGCCTTTGCTGTGGCTACTCCATCCACCTGGGACCCTCTCCCAGACACCTGTGATGATTCTCCCTTATCCCCTTCAAATGTCATCTCTCTGGTAACCTCTGTCTGTTGTTGTTATGTGCCGTCGAGTTGGACCTGACTCATAGCGACTCCTCCTTGGGTTTCTGAGACAGTATCACTACGGAAGTAGATTGCTCTGTCCTTGGAAGGAAGATGGGGCAATCCAAACCTCTGTCTGTTGGTGTTGTTATGTGCTGTCGAGTCGTACTCGACTCATAGCGACCCCTCCTTGGGTTTCCGAGGCAGTATCACTACTGAAGTAGATTGCCCCATCTTCCTTCCAAGGAGTGGCTGGTGGGTTTGAACCGCCAGCCTTCTGTTTAGCAGTCAAGTGCCTTAGCCACTATGGTACTAGAGCTCCTCTCTGTCTAGTTTCCCCTATTTAAATCCCAGCCCCTCCCCTACCCTTTCAGACCCTTGGTTCTGCAGGCCACCTCTTTCTATAGGGATGTATTGTGCCTGCATATGCATTATCTGTCCCCTGACCAGGACTCAGTAGGTAGGGGGAGGGTTCTGTCAAGTTGGTTTGCTTTTGGATCCCAAGTGTTCAGGAACTCTTACCTGAATGAATGGGGCCTCTTAGAGAGGGCCCCTTTCCACTCAGCGCCCTTTAGGGAGTGAAGGATGCCCCCCACCCCCAGGCCTGGACCAAGCCAGCTCTGTACCTGTCCTTGTGTGCACACGTCTGTGCAGATTCAGGTGCACCTCTGTAGCCTAGTGAGCACTTGGGTGTGTGAGGGTGTCACTTGGGCACCCTCTCTTAACTCGCCTCGCATGCCCCCCACCCTTGGCTGTGTGTGAGGGCCTGGGGGAGATGTGGGGCCACTGGCTGGGAAGTTGGAGCTCCTGAGCCCCTCACCCCTCTTCAGGTCTGCCTTGACCCTGGGGCACTGGCCAGACAGAAGCCCCCTGCCCCCCCATTCCCAAATTTGGGGAAAATATACATCTCATGTAGAGGCTAAAAATAGCCCTGCCCCAAAGCTAAAAATAGCTGGCGCCCCTCCTCCATGGACTAAAAATACCCAGCATGTGGCAGGTATCAGGCCAAGAAATTTGGAAGGCAGGCCCAGGTGGACAAGTGGTGCAGGCAGGTGATGAGCCCAGTGGCGGGCTCCCCAGGGCAGGGTGTCCCCCACCACAGCACTATTGACATTTGGAGCTGGGTCATTCTCTGCTGTTGGGGGCTGTCCTGTGCATTGTAGGGTGATGAATAGCATCCCTAGCCTTGACTCACCAGATGCCAGTAGTAGCCCCAAGTTGTGACAACTACAGATGTCTCCACACACTGCCCAGAGTCCTCAGGACGGGACAGAATCAGCCGTGGACAAGAACCACTGCTCTGGGGGAAAGGTTGTGAACTTTTTGTGTAACAGACCAGAGAGCAAATGTTGTAGGTCTGGCGGCCGCCTTCCAGCTCTGTTGCACCTCCTTGCTCTTTCTTCAACCCTTTGCCTTTTCTCTTGTTCA